CTAAGAGAAAAATAAGTTAAGTGATGAGGGCAACCTCCTTAATTTAATTGTGTTTTTTAATTGGTTATGGTGTTAACACTTTAAGTTGATTATGATTTCATTTTTTATAGATTTAGTTGTTTATCAATTGGTTTGATTATTTGATTCAAGTAAACTTGGGTCCAATAGGTTTTTGGTGAATTTTGGTAATTTTGAGTTTTTGGGTTAAGTTGAAGTGTCCAAGGCTTATGTTAATTTTAGGGTTAGTTGGTGTTGGGAAAAATTAGGTGAGACCAAAGTTTGATTTTGGTGACCCACCCCTCCCTTTGGTTTGAATTTCAAAGTAATGGGATTTTTAGGGTTTTTAGGGTAATGTGGTCAGATATAAAATTTTCCCTTGGCCTAAGACTAGCCTCGTGCTTGATGGCCTTGTATTTTAAGAGAATTAATGGGGCAGCCAATTGATTATTAGAGAGATCTTTAAGAAACTAGGCTCCAAGAGTAGCTTAAGTCAATTTTGACCTATAGGAATTTAACTTGGGCTTCTATTGGTTCAAACCACAATTCACCAATAGAAATTAACTTGGGCTTCTATTGGTTCAAACCACAATCATCTCAACAAAGGTTTTTGATTTGGGCTTAACTATTGAAACCCTAAGTGAAGGTAGAATTGGTTGAAGTTTTATGTGGGTACCTTTCATATCTAGGCATCTAAGAAGGTCATTGGGAAACCTTAAGGCTAGTTCTTAGGCTTCTATATAAAGAAAAGACGTCCTCACAAAGTGAGGTGAACAACGATTACAACAAATTTTCATCATCTAGCACAATTCTCTATGCATGGCACAAATCAAGGTGTAAATTCTCAATAAGAAATTTTCCAAATTTGATAACAAATCATATAGAACTTTGATTTTAGCAAACTTATTGCCAAACTGACTGACTCAACGAGAAACACAATAATATCAAAATTGGTCCAATCTAATCAAAGCTAAGATCAAAACATTAAAATAATTTTGGAAGCTTTCATTGCATAATTAGAAAACCAAATGAATCTCAAATATGATATGTTTATAGTCGAATCGAGCGTCTCGACGAGACGAATCCAACGAGTCTAATATTGCTAAACATTGACATCATTAAGGTTTTCAAATATTCATCGAATGTCGTTTGATCGGGAGAATCTCTCGGGACCATCTGATCAAAGTGATCTTGATTCCTTCTTTATTTACAACCCAAACTATATAAATAGAGTCACACCCTCCTCTTGAAAATGGGAGATATCTAACTAAAAGATGACTGAAGCTTGGAAGAGGACCTGAAGTCCAACATTGTAGCCACTGTAGACTACTATCAGCTGCCTTGACTCGTTGCAATGAAACACTTTGTGGAATCATGACGTGCATTATGGAATCTTGATGTACATTGCAGAGTGATGGACTTTCTGCAAAACAACTCACCCACATACTATATAATGACGTATCTCAAAGACAGTATGAAAATACATCTCAATTATGGTGCTGTGACACTAATTCAGGAGAATAGTGTACATTGATCAATTTTGTAACTTCATATTCTAAGTATGGAAAAGTGAATATATGTGCTCACAGTTTTCAGTGCATTATTACAACTGGACTTGACCTAATATTTTTTTTTCTTTTTTTAGAGTTTTTTACATAAAATATCAACGTGCCTCATACTTTTTAATTACATAAGTGTGTGATGGCATTTCCTGCACTAAAACAATAATTAATTAATATATGACCACAACATATATATATATATATCGAAATTTTTATAACATCTATCAAAGATTTATTTAACTCATTCAACTGTCCGCATATTTATTTACTTCCTATAACAAAATAAAACATAATACTCGATTTCGAAAAATAAATCGGTTTGCGAAAATTAAATTTTCTGCATCCTCAATTATATCATCAAATCCTGAGCAGCACATCCACCTAAAATGAAATATATATATACATATATTCGCTGAAGATTTATTTGTCGTTAGTTGGCATATAATACCTTTGGCATCAAGTAGATCAAAGCAAATACTTTTCGGCTTAAATGAAGTTTTGCGGCCGTCATTCATGCTTCCAAAGTTATAAAGCACAGAAAAACGCAAAGGAGATTTTTTAATTAAATAAAGTGCGAGGACCGAGGAGTACAATGAAAGCGGATCCCACTATCTTTTTATTTAAACTTAACATTATAATCATAAAATGCTATTATGACGTTTATATAAATGGTACCCAATTTAGGGTGTAAATAAGCGAGCTCAGGCTCAACTCGTATTCAGCTCATTTATAGAGTTCAAAAAGTCTGTTCATGTTCGGCTCGCTTGCTTAACGGGTCGAACACAAGTTATACACGAACAAATAATAGTTTTGACAACCCTAATCATGCAGTCATAAAATATTAAAGGTTGGGAAAATATTTAACAATTATTTTTTATATTAAAACAACATTTAAATCTAATTTAATAAATTTTATTCTATTTTCTTAATTAATAAAGCTTGAGATAAGATTCCTAATGATATCCTTTGAAGAGTTCTAGAGAAGAAAGATGTTGATATGACATATATTTAAGTCATTAAAGATATGTATACTAGAGTTGTTACTTGTGTTCGAACAAAAGGAGGATTGACCAAATGTTTTCCTATTTTAGTTGGATTACATCAGAGATCAGGTTTAAGCCATATCTTTTTTGCTTTAGTTATAGATGCCCTTACAGGACATCTACAGGAGGTTGTAGCTTGGTGTATGCTTTTTGCCGATGATATCTTCTTGTGTATAAGACTAGAGAAAGAGCTCAGGAAAAACTTAAATTATGGGGGTCTACATTGAAGTCTAAAGGCCTTTGTTTAAGTAAGAACTAAAATTGAATATATGGAATATAATTTTAGAAGTAATAGCTCTAGTGACAAAGTTGTAACTATCAGTAATCAGATTATTAAAATGTGTGAATGATTTAGATATCTCAGGTCGATTGTTCAAAGTGATGGTGATATAGATGGAGATGTTATTAGTAGAATTCAAGTTGGTAGCTTGAAGTGGAGGAATACTTTGGTCCTATTGTGTGATAGAAAAGTATCGCTTGGACTGAAAGAAAAAAATTTATAAGCTAATGGTGAGACCTGCAATTCTCTATGGCACAGAATGCTCGCCTTTAAAAGAGGAGAATAAAATTAAGTTAGGTGTTTCCGAGAAGAGAATGCTTAGGTGGATGAGTGGCTATACACTTGAGTCAAAATGCACAATGAATATATCAGTGAAAGGGTTTGTGTAGCTCCTGTGGCGAACAAAATTAGAGAGTGTCATCTTAAATGGTTTGGTCACACTAAATGTGAACCATCTGATGATCTGATTATAAGAGTAGATATTTTAGATTCGACTTATGTTAAGAAATGCAAAGGTAGATCAAGAAAAATTTGGGCATTGTATAAAAAATAATCTTAATTTATTACATTTAAATGAAAAGATGACACACAATAGGATGCAATGGAGAAAAAAGTTTCATGTAGCCAACACCACAGTGGGATAAAGGATTTTTGTTGTTGTTATTGTTGGCTTATAAATACATATTTATTGGGTGGCATGTAAGTAGATCTTTCAAACTTTTTCTTTGTTGTCATTTTTTATCTTGGCTCCTTTTGATTGAAAGATCTAGAGACGGGTCACTTTCAACAAAGTTCAATATGGGCCCAAATGAAGACGAAAGAAAGAGAACTCATATCACCCCGACAAAGAAGTCCCATCCTACTTGGGGTCCGATTTGGCCTAATTTTCAACCTAACCAATAATGGTGAGCGGAAGAAAGGATCTCACCGCAGTTTATTAGTAAGGTTTAACTAATAAATTCCTTCAAGTTTAAAATACATTAATAGCAATTTTGAGTTTATTACGTTATGATTAGCACCAGTCTCATTCATTTAATATATACATTTGTTAAATAAAAGACATTAAATAAGCGCTTTTAATACAATAATTAGCAAGAAAACAAGAAAAATAATTACATAAACACTCGTTACCAAACACAAATATTCTAGAAAAATTTACATACATATCACACAACTGCTTATGTACTTACATCCTAACACTTAAATTTTGATATTTATATATATAATATTTGAATACCATAAATTATGTGTAAAGTGAATTCCACTTATAAAAACATATATATGATAAAATTTGTAATATGATGTTACAAATGAGAGTAATATGTATATAAATATGAATGTTTTAGTGTTAGATAAATAAATATACAAGAAATGTTGTAATTATGTAAATGCTCATGAAATAAATTCATTTAATATTCCATCTCACAAGAAATGAACTTTTTAATAATCCATCTCAGTTACAAAATATCACGCGGAATATGACAAACTCCTAAACCGTAACGCACCGTGGATGCCAAAACGCGCGGTGAGAAGCCGTCTTTTTGATTTTTAAAACGCGCTCAATCCAGACCGCCGTCGTCTCTAATTATGAGTTATGAAAACAAAAAATAAAAAATAAAAGCTGTCGCTGATCGTTTCAGACTTTGCAGTGCCAGAGGTGACGAGCGTCAAGTTCTGAAACGGCCATAGAGAGCAAGAAAGGGTGAAGCAGAGAGCAAAGGGGAAGAGAAAACCCTAGAAGTATTATTCTGATCACGCTCCATAACCATGGAGAAGTGGCAGAGCTCGCGGCCATGGAGTAAGAAGATTAACGGGTCATCAGTAATGGCGAGGTCCGATTATAACGACGTTTTCGGCTTGCGGCCATGGCACGCGACACCCTTTTCTCGGCGACTTGATGATTATTCTGAAATATTTGATGTCGCAGACGCCGCCTCCACAATCCCTGTGCTCGACCTTTCTGTGGTTGAAAATGACTTCGAGAAGACGGGCGGCGACAGCGCTGGCGTTGACTATTTAGATATATTTGGAAGTATTGGTGGTGGAGGCTCGGTGGCTTCGTACGATGAGTTGATCGCGGAAGCGAAGATTTCGGGGGATTGTTCTTCGGAGGGGAGGTTAGTTTGGGCTCTGATTCTTCTTTTTTTCATCCGTAGCCTCTTATTCTACTGTTGATACTACTTTGATACTACTTTGGATTAGTTCTTAATGTTGCTGCCTTCACTCAGTTTATAAGTGGGTGTGTGGACTGCGGTGTATTTTTTTAGCCAAACATGCTCTGTTTCTTCTCCTCTGTATTTTTCATACTGAGGATTGTTGATGATATTCAGTTACTTTATTGTGAAAGACACTGGTGGAAAATATTATAAAATTAATATTTTGGGCAACTTTTGATATGTTTCGCTAAAAGGTGCGCTTAAATTGATTTTATTATTTGAGGGACATAAGTTGAATGTCGCCTGTTCGAAACTTCAGACATAAAGTACTTATTAATATATGTTTTTATATAAAGAGATGTTAAAAATTCAGGTGAGCGCCAGCCTGATGCTTGTGATGCGAATGGCAAGCGCATGCTGCACTTAAGCCACAACATCAAACTATTTCAAATCGTCACAATCTAACTGGAAAGTTACATTTGGAAATTTTGAAACAACCCTTTGCAATACAATTCAAGCATAGCTCATCAAATCTTTCCCAAATCCTTGTATTGACTGAAGCTTCCCGCGCAAGATATGCCTTTTTTTTTTTTTCTGTTATTGGAATTGAATGAGCTTCGCGCAAGATATGCCTTTTTTTTTTTTTCTGTTATTGGAATTGAATGAGCTTTAGATCCTGCATTCATATGATATCGTGCATGAAAAAATGTACAAATCCGGTTTTTTTCATTGTAAAATGATAACAACAACTACAAGAATCATAGACAAAACGAATTGTGTGGTGATTTTGCCAGATTTTGTTGTATGTTTGGTATTAAAATATGAGGTTTGCCTCTATATATCAAGAGAAGAAACTTTGAGAACTAGTTTAAGGAATCATCAAGTTCATACAAAGCCTAATAATTCTTAAAGAAGCATCAACACCATGACTGTTTATGTAGCTTGTTCCCTAGGATTCCAAATAGACCAGATTTCAAGATTGTAGCGGGAAATTCTAGAATCAAAAATGATCTTTTGGTAGAAGTACCAAAGCACCTTGCAATAAGAAAAAATGAATAGAAAGTTGTTCGCCAGACCAATTAATAGGATATCAAAATCATCCATATAATCAAATTAGTCCAACCTCTCATATAGCAACATAAAGGTTCAAACTGTAAAGGTCCTTATAAAGTGACATTATAATACTTGGGGTGAGGAATACATATTTCATCACCCATTTAAATATAAACCAGCTGGCAATATAATCCTTCCTTCTAAAGCATCGAACTTATATTGTTGCCAATTATGCAAATATGTCCTAAAGTTGCAATTTTAACTTCTTTAAAGGTAATAGTCTGTTTGTTATCTATAAATATATAGGACTCGGCGGCATATATTGTGTGAGAAACAGGGGAAAGAAACTTCAGAATACCCACTAAAAACATATACTGCTAATGATAAGCCAAATTTGAAGATGAACCCATTCTTGTCATTTCCTAGATTGTCAGATGACTCTAGTTCAGACAAATCCAGCATGTTGCAGCACAGAATGAGTAGGAAAAAATTTGATGATGTAATAAGTGATAAAACACATAATGGTAAACTTGATTCTATTCCTGGATGCTCTAGTGTTGATGCAAGTGATCCTGTACAGGAGAGTAAAAACAAAGCAGAGGAGTTTGAATGTGCTTCCCTTCGAGAAGCTCCCAGAAATGAGAAAGACAACTCCCAATTTTATAGCTCTCATCAAACATCAAGCGGGCATATACTGTTAAATGATGTTCCACACTTGAAGGTATCAGAAATTGGTCTTCAGACTAAGCCTTTTAAAGGGCCACCGCCTTCAAGACCACCTCCTCCATTGTCAATGAAGCCAGAGCATCCAAAAGTCTCAGGCACTGATTCCAGTGTGGATTTCGACGAACAACATTCTCTGAAATCCAAGGTGCATAGTCTGCTGCATTCCAGCAATGAAGCTACAATTGATGAATCTATGAAAGGCTGCTCATTCTTACTTGATGCTGAGATGGATCCTAATTCAGCTGCTGCAGTTTCTATAGCTGCTATAAAAGAGGCAATGGAACAAGCTCAAATTCTACTGACAAATGCGAAGAAAATGATGGATAGAAAACGTGATAAATCACATTGTAAGATTGGCCCGCCTAAAACTATGTGTAATAAGGATGATGGAACCGCTTCTGAGGTAACTGTGAAAGATTGTAGTAATGTGATAGATGCAAGTAATTTGCTAAAGGAGAGTAATATGATTAGTGAATGTACTTTTGTAGAAAGGGAAGAAATCAGGACTGGAGTGAAAATAATTTTGAATGATGAGGATAGAAAGATGCTACCTTCTTCATACAGAAATGAACAGAAGCAGGTGAGTAAAGAGAATGCATCTAAATCATTTGTGGAAAGGGGAGAAATTGGGACTACAGGGAAAGTACCTTTGAGTATCGAGGACAGAAAAATGCAACTTTCTCCATACAAAAAGGACCAACAACAAGTGAGAAAAGAGAAAGGATCTGAATCATCTGAAGTGACCTTTAAAATAGTTGACATAGCTGAGGAATGGAAGACGGATAAGGAATATTATGAACTACTAAAAAATGATAGATTTTTGAATATATTCAGTGACATCTGCTCTTATGTAGATGAAAAAAAAGAAAAAACAGCCATCTGTTATTGTGAAGACAGAGACAAATATAGTAAAGATTCTGAACACGCTATTGAAGTTGAAGAGAAACAGAAATCGATGGAAGGTAGTGTCTGCATTGAAAAGTTAGAAAGAAATATCAAGTTAAAAGGTCCTTGCCTGGATTGGAAGGAGAAGGCTAATGAGAATTTAGCAGATTCAACTATGGATGAAATTCTGCTTAAAGGCCATACCTGTGAACTTGAAGAGTATTATGGTTCCTTTTTGTCTGATGAAAATCGGATGCAGAGCGAGGCCCACGCAGATAACAACAATGAGGACAATGTTAAAAAACTTGGTTCTGTTGTGGATTATCGTCTGCATGAAGAGAATATAAAGAAATTACAAAATTTTAATTTTGATTTCAAACCTTGGGTAGCTAATGGATATTCTGAAGAAAAAGAGTTGCAGTGTGCTGAAAGAGTCTCTGGTTTTGTGGAATATAGAAGGAAATTCAATGGCATTCAAGTAAAGTATGGAGTAAACGAAAGCGATAAAGAAGTGAAAGTTCAAAATGAAACTTTTTTCCAAGACATTTTTGAGAATAAAATTAAAGAGCCGGATGAGTTGTGCACATTTAATACAACCGACAAAGAGGAAGTAGATGAAGAAATTAAACCACGCAACAGTTATGAGAATGAAACAGGACATTTGAAACATCAGTACTATGACAATGCAGATAGACGCAAGATTGAAGGGAGTGATGATGCAGCAGAGAAGGAGGTTGATGAATTTGAAACAAAAGAGAAGGCTCACATGTTAGTGAAAAATGAGCTTGAACGAGGAGCTATTCAAGATGGACATGGGTTGGTACTGTCCGAAGAGCAAGAAAAAATAAAAAATACAGAGTTCGAGAAGATATTAAACTCTAGAGAAGAAATCTCTTGTAAAGATTGCAGCGAAGAGGAAACTAAAGAGGCTCAAACTACACTCCAGAAAGATGAGGAATCAATGGGAGCTCTCATGAATAATGGCGTGAACAAGTCTGAATTCCTTGCATCAGCTGAGGGTGTTAGTGGTCAAAGAGTGAGTGAGAACATAACAGAAGTTCCCATGCTTTTGGAAACTCAGATCAGTGCAAATTCAGCTGATGAGGCTCACCAGTTGGGTGAGATTGATGAATCAGATACCAGAAAGGTCTTTTTGTCAGGAAATGAACGCATCTTGCTACCAGATGCAACAGAAATTTCTCATGTTGAGAAGGCCGTGAATCATAAACATTCTTTATGCATCGATGTTGAGGAAAATAAAAGTAATATGGATGTAGTAAAGGAAAAGGGACGAGAGCCAGAAGCACACCTAGAAGACAAAGCCCTGGATAGAGAAAAAGAAAGAGAAAGGATTGCTGCAGAAAGAGTAAACTATGAAACTCATCAACAGGTACTTGCTGAAGCCCGTGTAAGGGCAGAAAGAATTGCAGTAGAAAGAGCAACGGCTGAAGCAAGACAAAGAGCACTTGCAGAAGCCCGACAAAAAGCAGAAAAAGCTGCTGAAGCTGAGAAGGCTTTCAGGGAGGCAAGATTGAGAGCTGAACGTGTTGCAGTTGAGCGAGCGACAGAAGAGGCTCGTAAGCGTGCCATTGAGAAAGCCTTAGCTGAGAAAGCTGCAGCAGATGCAAGACAGCGTACAGCCCAACTTAGTGCCTCTAATAAGGATATGTTGAGAAAAGATAATAAAACAGAGCATTTTAAGGCTACTCATATGAAGGATGATTCTGAAGCAAAGCACAAACCCAGTTTTGCTGTAAGTAGAAAAATAGGAACTTTTGCAATTTGATTTTACTTTTTTGAATGAATCTTATGATTGGATGGTTGTGCAGAAAATTCAACGGAATACACAATCTCAAAGTGCTGCAAGTTCTGCAAATGATCACATATATTCCGATTCTCGCAATAATGGTAATTTTTTGTTCTTATATATTACTTGTTGGCAAAGTTTAACTTATCCTAGGGCAGCAATCGAGCACAGTCGAGTCGAGTATGTTATGGTTTGAACTTGGCTTGGTCAAATCATAATATGTTCATTTTCAATTTAAGATTGAGATGAGCTTTCACATATATGTTCATACTTGGTCAATGTAAAATTTTTAATGTTTGTACTTGTTTTATACTTGACTTGTTTATATTAATTGAAAATCTAAAAATTTGAATGAGTACTTAATTCTTCATATAATATAAAAAATTTGATCTATACTTGATTTTTCATATAAAACTAGTAAATAAGTTAATAATTTGAATGAAGACTTGATTTTTTTATAAATTATTAATGAGGAATTTTACGAATCTAAATAAAAAGTAATTGAATAGATTTTAAATTAACATCTAATTAGTTTATACCAAGTAAATAAAATAATTTAGAAATTGTGATTAAACTTTCTTGCAATCATTGAAACGAAAGAATTACGTAAAATTTATGTGTATATTGATATTAAATTATAATATATTATTATTAAATAAGTTTCAGTTAGTCAATTTTTTTTTAAATAATATATCTTATAAGTATAGAGCATTTAAAAAGTTACTTATTGAATAATAAACGAGTTTGTTCATGAACAGTAATAAAAAAGTTGTAGTATGTTCAAATTTGGTTCATTTAAGTTCCGAGTTTTTAAAAAATAGTCAAATTTGTTTATTTACAAATTTGAATAAACATAATCGAGTATCAAACGAGTCAGGTTTGTTTTGTTCATCAGGTGCATTGGTTCATTTACAATCTTGTCTATCGGTTTGTTTTACGAGTAAACTTTGATCATTCGTGTCGTTTGGTATTTGGTTGATTTAAAACAAATAATTTACTCTCCCTCTTTCTTGTATTCTAGTCTTGCTTTTTTATGTGAATTATGTCGACAAGTTCTGAACTAGGTGGAGCCGAATCAAAGCTGAAGTTTAAAGAAAGACAAGAGAGGCAACAACAGACAGTTGAGCGTGCTGTAAGCTCAAATTTGAATATCTCCTTTTCATTTTATTCGTATCTTTTGTTTTTTCTTTACTAAATTCGATGTTGCATCACTTATATTTTTATACTTAATTTACAGGCAAAAGCATTTGCTGAAAGGAACATGCGTGATATTGTTGCTCAAAGAGAACAGGCAGAACGGGTGGAACGTGATGTAAAATTTATTCATATTATCTTTCTAATTTTAAATTTGTTTGATACCAGAATTCCTAATAACTTACAACTTTTATTATCTAACTGTGGTTTCAGAGGTTGGCAGAATCACTAGATGGTGAGGTGAAGAGGTGGTCAAGTGGAAAAGATGGGAACTTACGTGCGTTGTTGTCAACGCTTCAATATGTATGCCCACTTTTTTTTATCTTTAATATTGCAATTTTACAAGTTCCAATATACTTCAATTTTTTAACAACTACTCGCCTTGGGTGTAGAATGATTATTGTACAACTATACACTCGGACAAACCCCCTTTTTTTCTTTTGTGCATCGTAGCATTTTATAGTGAATGTTTTTTTGCAGCTTCTTAAAGTCTAATCTATTTGTAGCTTCATGGGCGTGGTTCCAACTAGGGAGCTAAGGATGGTAAGATGGATAAAAAGAGTAAAGAAATAATGAATTGAATTGGCTTAGTGTGGTTCCACAATTTTTTCCTTCTAGCTGTAAACTTAACAATGCCTATATTCTACATCTGCGGAAGTAATTTTCATTCATCCTAATAACATTCTTATAGAATACATTATATGCCTTTTTTTGTAGACATAGCATTAGTTAAAGCCAAATGAGCTACACAACAAACAATTTAAAATATTGTTCTCTACTTAACTTGCGATGTTAGGCTCCTAACAATAAAAAAAGGTCGTTAACAAGGTATGGTAGATTTTATTCGGCTATAATATCTTCCTTATCAATAACCTTCACTTTAGAAGACCAACCTTTAGTTGTCTTAGAAAACTTTCATACGAGTAAGAATACAATTCTTCTCTAAGAGTGATAACATATTGTCGAAAATGTTCTTTGATAATAATTGAAGCATTACTCAGAAAGGTTGAAGAATGAAATCAGGAAAGTTGTAGGTTTGTTCGTAAGATTTTTTGCAAGGAGGGGCGGATTGTGATGTGGTCTTATGCATGGTGCATTTTTGTATTTTTCAAAATTTCTCCATGGCTGTTTCTTGCAGGGTTCTATAGCTAGCTCATGCTTCCTGTGGGGTTGTAGCAACTTTTTTTTGTGAAATCAAAACCCTCTTTTTGTTTGTGGCCCTTTTAGGTTGTTACTTGATACCAGAGATCTTAGTGATCTAGGGTTCACTATTGAGAAATAGGATGGGATTTATATTCGAGCACATAAAATATCATTATTTGTAGTTCTCCAACTTTATCTTATGCAAAATCGGCTCATTTGATGCAAATTTAGAGAATTTATATAATCCACTCCAAACAATAATTTAAAAATTAATATATAAACTGTGCAAAAAATTTAAGAATTTATAAAAATTATAAAAAGATCAACACTCACACCGCAAAAAAGAAAGCATATGCTACCGAATTTGGTAATTTTCATTATCACATGTAAAACCCAATTAAAAAGTATATGCATGAAAAAAGCATAGTTAAAGGTCACCAAATCTAGGTCTTACACTAGTTCAAGGCGAAAACTTTCTCCTCTAAATTGTTGAAATACCTTTTTTCTTTCTCCTAAAAATTGTTGAATTATCTTTTTTCCAAGTGGTGGTTTGTGTATGTGATTTATATGTCTTATTTGTGTTGTCTACAAAGTATTAGAAGTATATGTTATAGAAATTTGTAAATATTCCTTCTAAGTTTCTCATAGTTTACTTTTCTTAAAGTTATTTACAACATATCCATAAAAATAATCAGCATACATATACATAATTTGTATGAAAATATTTGTTGAGAGCATCTAGTTAAGTATTAATTTCAAGCTTGTTGCAAATGTTAACAAAAGATTTGTGGAAATCACAGAAAGTGATAATATCATAATACATTAATCCAAAATATTTTTTCTTTAGGAACCATTGAGAAATTATTGCAAGTAAAACACAACCATATAAAATTTAACAAATTGGGAAGAGAGCTTAAAAATTAGAATTTAGAAACTTTTTTGTAGAAATATAATTTTTAACTTGTATGATGCCATGAACTGTTAATTAATTACTCAAATTCTTCTTTCTCCTTACTTCTCTTAGTTCAACTTTACAATTGCCATATGCAAATTTTCTTGAAAATTATATTATCTAATTTCTAAACTTTTTATTGATGTTTTTTGGCCTCTATATCTATTCAACAAGACAAATTGTTGGGATAGGGTCTGTTTGGGGGCAGCTGCAACTTATTAGAAAGTAGCTGCGAAGCTACTGAAAAATAATCCGATGTTCAAAAAGCTGCGGAGACAACTACAATTTTCTTTTTTTTAAAAAAAACTCAGACCACAGCTAGAAAGTTGCAACTGCACCCAACCAAGATCAGTGAGAAAGTGCAGATTTCAGCGATAACTTTTTGAAAAAGTTGTCAAAACGTAGTTTACCCAAACAGACAAAACTGTGAAGTAGTGTCTCACCGCCACCGCACCGCATCCCTAAACGGACCCAGAGTGAAAACGAAACTGATTGAATGCAGAATCATGGAAACCGAGTCAAAATGCTTCATCAACCGCAAAAGTAATCCAAATGACTTTCGTTATTGCACAAAAGCTGGAAATCATTTTCGGACAAATCAACCATTTGCAATCTTAACTGTCAAGCTTGAGAGCAATTCAAATGAGACAACAAAGCTGAGTAGGAGGTTGGGTTCAAGAGTGGAAACGATGAAGCTTGAACTTAGGAGGAAAAGCTAGCTAAAGCAAGTGGGTTGAGATGAATAGTTTTGTTTAAAAGCTCAATAGCAACTGACATCTTACTTGTTTGACAAAATAGGTAGACTAAAGTAAGCTTAATTTTAACCATATTGCAAAATCTGAAGCTATCTCTTAGAAGGTAGATCAAAGTATTAGAGTGTGAAGTTGACAGACATAAAGTAGATCATGAAAGGCCTGACAACTAACTTGCTTTGTCAAGGCAAGACGTGTTGGGTCTAGAAAAGATAGTCAAAGTCTTGAAGATTGTGATCAATAGAGTGTGGGAGGAGAAAGCTCAAACATAGAATAATGGTAAGTTTGTTGGCTAAGATTGGTGAATCTGAGTAGAACCGAGGGTCTCGATGGCTGAATTGGATAAGAGGGAGATTAATTCGAGAGATATCATGGAGAAGCATATGTGGATCGTTGAAATATTTAAAAAAAGGGGAAACTTTGTCATCTTGCGAAGACATAAATACTCATCACGTCGTCTTCACTCGACGAGGAAAAACCTATTTGTTTGTGATTGTTTTTGTGCAGATGCTTGCAGCTTTATGCATGTCTTTTTAAGTGTGGTGGGTTGAAGAACCGACGCGATAGAAGTGTTATGTGTTCTTTTTTATGCTAGTACATGAAACTTGACAACTTGCTTAATTAGCTTGAGTCTGATCTCATGTTGGCTTTCAAAATAATCAAATTAAAGAATTATCAACATTTTTAAAAATGATAAAGTGAGAGACTCTATTTTGAAAGCAAATTAATATGATTATAAGCTCAATTTGAAAAATTAAATAAATGGTGAATACGAGCAAGTTTCAAAATTTGAAACACACAACAAAAATCTTGAATGTCAAGTATGCCACCAGATTCACAATATAAACCTACAAGAGAATAAAAGATGATTGTAAAGGTGTTCGAATTAAAACTTTGAATGCATCTCAAAAGTCAAAATATTCAAGCAAACTTTCAAAATTAGGGATGATTTTAGGAGCCATGTGCTGAATGAAAACTACTTTCAACATAAAGATGTTTATTTGAAAAGCATGTGAGTACCTTAAACTTCTTGCAACACCTCAAAGGTGGGTTCATATGGCATATTTGAATGTCTTTTAAGATATGTGCACATCATGAGACAATTTCTTGAAATTCTTTGAAAAGTGAGTATGCTAATAAATTTAAACCCGCATGTGCTCCAACTACTATATAGAGTGCTCAAATAGTTGGTCAAGAATGTTGTGCTGTTGAACATAAGTTTAAACTAAAATATAATCCACATTTATAAACATGAAAAAATCAAAATATTCCAAAATTTTCTTTTTTTAAATCAAATTCATAGTTTTTGAATGTTACACACTCTCATGCGAGCCGTCTTGCTTCGACATAGTTAGAAGTCCCACTTGAACACCCCTATTCTCCTGAGAAAAGCTGGAGTCGATAAGATTAAGTTTTCACTTAGCTAGTCTGATCCTTCTATTTACAAAGACTTTAGTTGATAGGACTGATGCTATAATACTATTCAAATGGTAATGTTCAATTAAAATTACCGCTATAAATAGTTTAAATTTTTTTTATGATTGTCATGTTGAACGCCAACTTCATGCAACAAATAATACCATTCAATTTTTTTTTATTTAATGGCTGAGAACAAATTATCATTCACAATTCATACTCGTTTGTCAAGGATGACAAATTTAAGATTAATCCAAGCTCACAAGGAGTTTGCGTCATATTAAGTTTACTATTACAATCACATTTAAACTAATCTTATACCAGTAAGTACATGCTCCGAGTTCTCTACCCACATGCTTTAACTAGTCAGCTCCACAAAAGTAATTACTACAATCAGAGTTCTCTAATTGAGTGGTCTAGCCAAAAATATTTCACTATATTACTGCCATGATTGTAGCCCATATATTCTCCAATGGTTTCCTGTGTCCTTAAGTTGTGAATCGTATGTTATATTTGATGGGCAAAAAATCTTCTGTATACTAAGGTCGACTTGAATTTGTCCAAACATTCATCCCAGGTCTACAAGATTCTATTGGGCGAAGTAACCTATAGTTGCTGACAATGATCCTTCTGTCTGGTTGGGTCGACTTCATCCTTTGATCAAGTAGACTAACAATAATTACAAGTCGGGATGACGAAACTATATGATTTTGATCGGGTTCATCATCATTCCCCCATCCATCCGATCTAAAGCTCATCATAAAATGAAATCAAAGCCTACCGCTACTATAAGCTGAGTGATTAGTTCTTAATGACTGACCTTAATCAAAATATTCAAAAATATTCTATTTTTATCATAAGAGGTAATCAAACATAACGGTTTATGTTTTTGGAAACCTTGAACTCTAGATTTTAAATTCATTGCAAAACAAGGGCAAAACTGCTGGATAGTATCTTATCTATAATTTTATTTGTCGTTTGAAAATTTGACTCATAACCTCGATATAAGTATTTTTTTTTGTTTTCAAAAGAGGCAGGCTTGTGATTTTTTATAGCCCATAATGATGCCATAGTATTTGCTATTGTTGGGGTTCTTTAAATATATATCAAAAGATTATCAACTAAACAATTCATTAAAGCCAAGATTTATCAAGTTAAGCTGAATTGAAGTGATTTTATTTCCAAATATTTTTATTATGCATGTCGGTTTCTACGGTCTATCAATAGATCCTTCTTGTGAATCATTTCTGAACTGACACCCCTTGTTGTATTGTTGTGGCTCTTCTTGTGAGATTATAGATCTCCTTTGCCTGCACCTTTTTGTCACCGTAACTCCTTTAGTCGCTGCTCTTTCGAGGTTGTGATTTTTATAATTATGTGACTCCTAATTTGTAGTTGTGACTTTGGTAGTTGCGATTAGTATTTGGCTTGCTACTTCTTGGGTTGTGCTATCATTCGGTCTTTTATGAGGTTATAATTTGGTAGCTTGAGAAATGCATAAAAGTAACTTTTGACGAAATGAAAATTTGTTTTCAATGTAAAATTCATTTTTTTTGTTCTGATTTCCTTAATCATTTTTGACACGAACCTTATCTAATAGTTTCTTTTTCTTTCTCTTCGTTTCTCCTTTATTATTATTAGCTAAAAGTGGAAGTTTTTTTTGTCAAATATGCTGCATATATATATATATATATATATATAGTTTCTTCTAGTATGCCATGTAGAAATGTTTGACTTGCTGCACTGGCCACATCTGATAGATGCAGAGCTTTCATGACCTTGAATTCTGTTTTGTTAACTTTTATTATAAGCTAAAAATTTCCGCTTAGATCGAAATTTTAGTTGTTTTAAGCTCTATAAAAAACATAAATAAATACGTTATGATCAATACTTTTCTTTCTCATGACTGTGAAATGATTGTTTTATTGGCTCATGTCTAAGTCCTATATTAAATGCTAGGGAACACTATTAACTCTATATACTAGAATATCCTACATCAATGTGCCATAATAGCGGTCTGCAACTTCAACTTTGAAAGCATCCTATGTCACACTGTTGTTAGTATTATTATTTATTTTTCTTTTTAGTTTTTTATTTTTTTTATTTTTTTATTTATTTTCTCATACGAAGTGACAAATTGCCCTTTTGTTCAGCCATTTTTTTTCCTTTTTCAAGATAGTGATAAGTGATAACAAGCCCTTATGGCCTTTTGACCATTTTTTGTATATAATGATGGCAATTGCTTTTACTGATATAACTCTTGACAGATCCTTGGCCCTGACAGTGGTTGGCAACCAATTCCTCTAACGGATATAAAAAATGCAACAGCTGCAAAGAAAGCTTATCGGAGGGCTACTCTCTGTGTTCATCCAGATAAACTGCAACAAAGGGGTGCTTCCATTCAACAGAAGTATATTTGTGAAAAGGTGTTTGATCTCCTCCAGGTATTTATTTTTGGAAAAGAACTTATTCGCTACTAGTGTAATTTTTCATCCGGCTGGGAAATCATAAACATTAATTTTCATGTTTGCAGATAGCATTTAGCATATTTCCTGCATCCCAAAACATACTATTGTTTGGATATGATTGCTTTAAATTGACTAATTCATGGAGAAGTAACTCACTTCACACGAGCTGCCCTTAGTCAAAATCCAAATGTCAAGTTTAGCTTGATTCAAACTCCCATTTAAAATTGAAACCGATTTTATGGGAGGGTAGGAGGGTGGGGGGAACCTAAAAGTCTATAAGATAGCATAAAAGCATTTAAACACTATTAAATTGTGAAAATGGATGCATAATATCCATTGTTGGTGACTTGCACTAAACAAAATTTGCATGTTATTCAAATCTGATTTTGTGAAATTATTTTGTTTCATTATTTTATTTATTTTGAAATCTTTGCCAAAATTCTCGGATGTTTATGACCATTTCATCATCATTTTGGTTTAAAAGACCACTATTATCTATTTTAATTTAAAGAATTGAGTTGTTGGATTAGTTAGTCACCTTTGATCCACGAATCCTCAGAAAATGCATTAATGAATCTAACCTTGAGACATACTTTTTCAATTGTTCATCTCTTCATGTTAATTCTTTTCTTGTAAGAGTGAAACACAAATATTGCTTGCCATTTATTTATTTCTAAGGGTATTGGGTAAATTTCCTTTATAGCATTCTTGTTAATTCTTTTTTAGACTCCTTAGGCAAGCCATGTTTTCATTTTTGTCAGTTTCTAATTGTTGATGCTCATTTCGCTCTAGTTGGTGAAAAATCCTCATCAATAATGGCTAAAATAATTCAGTGTTGCTTCAGTTTCTTCCATCTTTGAAGATCTCTTGCAGTTTTCTGGAATCTGATTGACATAACAGATTTCGGCTTAAGAAGTTACAGACCACCTGTAACTTCCTATTCAAAATGCATCAGTTCAGTAGTTCAAAAAAATCACCTTGGTGGTTTATCTGTAAATATCAATGTTTTGGGTGCTCTGTATGTAATTATCCCAAAATTTATATTATGCCTAAAGAAGGTTTGGAGAGGGCTTATCATGTTCAATATTACCTCTATATTATAGAAAAATTATTTTCATAATTCAAACTATAACCTCTAGATCATAATGGATGCAATCTACCCTTGCTCCATATCTTGAAACATGCGAAACATAACTTTGTTTGGTTCAAAAGGGAATTCAAAGAGGGTCAATGAAAAGGAATGGAAATGAAAGTGATAGACATCGAGCCAAAAAAAAAAAAAAATTTTGATTTATAAAAATGTATATTTGTTTTTTGTTGGAGGTAGGGAATTAAGTTTTAACTCTAAAAATTAAATTTTACATAAATTTGATGCCACCTTACCTATGCATGAAAATTTGTATTTCACTTTTAAGAAGTTAAAATGGTGGCATTTTTTGATGTGATATAAAAGATTTGGGTGGTATAAATATAAAAACATTAAGTTTAGGTGTTAGATATGTAAATAAGTAGGAATTGGATGGTATGTATGTAAATGCCCCAAAATATACCAGTGTACTTTTTTGCTGTAATTTGAGAAGGGCCATCTTAATGTGCAGGAAGCTTGGAACAAGTTTAATTTAGAGGAGCGATAGCAGAGTCCAGGTACTTCACTTCCCACTATTAAAGTTTTGGCCATTTTGAGTCATCTCAAAGAATAGTAATTGTTTCATATATGCCGCTGTCCTTAAATTTTGACGAGAGGGCAAATGTTCATGCTCCTTGAAATGATATTTTGTATTTTTTTCATTTTTAAATTTATTGGAAATTATATATATTTATTTCCTCTTAAATTTCTGCCCTGAAGAAATTATTACCTTTTATTGCTAAGAAATTGAATGCCAGGCATTAAGCTTGGCGGACTGTAAAAGAATTGGGCAGTGCTGTCTTTTGTACATTCACCATTTTTAATTGTTCATTTACTCACCGTTACCACTAAATTGCATCAAATGGATGGCATTTTACTAATTCTGGGTAAAGACTTCTAGTTTTTTATATCGAAATTACATGTTACTATTCGATGTTGATGCGTTATCAAAAAATTCTTATCACCTAGCATGAATCTTGATGTATTTTTTGAACAATAAACATTTTAAATTTAAATTCAAGATCATCTGAGGCCATAATTTTAAGAAGTTTATGGTCAAACAGATTGTCTAAAAAAAATAAACCCAAAGATATCAAAGTTCAGTCAATTCATGTCAAATCAAGTCTAGATCAAGACATTAAAACACATTCGGAGGCTTTAGATTGTAAATTGAATTGTCAAATAAATTTCAAAATTGACATATTTATAGTCAAATCGAGTGCCTCGAAGAGAGGAATCCTATGAGTCAAAGTTCACTCATTTTCGAGGTCATTAAGACACCCAGGTCGTTAAAAAGACTCCTATGATTAAGGGGAATCAATATGGATCGCTCGATCAGATGATTTGAGAAGTGAAACGCTAAAAGACCAAAATACCTCTCCGCAAAAGCCTATAAATGAGTCAACTCCCTTCACTTGAAGGGGAGAAGAAGAGGATTTCTAAAGCCTGTTATGGAGAGAAGACTTGACGATGACCACCAACCTTCGTGGTAGCCGACCACTGTAAAAATTCACCAGCTATCGCCACTTGCCGTCACAGTCATCGACTG